TGATTTAGTTACACATCGTTCCACATGCACACGTCAAATATTAAGTATATCATGGGTTTTTTAAAAGAAGAAAATCCCCTACATGGACCTTAAATGCATGACATTTGATGTGTTGTTAAAAATAGATTGAAGGGAAAATTATTTAATTTTTTAAATTGTCCAATGGTATGTTGTCACATAGCAAAGTGTAAAGAATGATGCACATTTAGTATAATTGAATTGCAAAAATGCTACTTTTATTGTACAGCTATTTTGACAACGTGTGATGTGCAAAGATCTTGGCCATTGATTCGATTAGTTGTACAAGTAGCATGATTGGGGTAAATTTCATTTGCAGAAATTAACTTTTAGCTATATTTCAATTGGGTTACTAAAGTTAATTTTCCTTAATTGGATCAATAAACTTTTATTTACTTTCAATGACAAAAGTTACTAATTGGTTAACAGTCATATAGTAATTGATATCCTACTAGTTAAAAGTCGTGTTTTTAATTTTAACACTTTTATAATGTGATGTAGTATTAAATTGGCATGTAACACATTGATTACATGGAAGATCCATGGTAGTGTGACTACCAATTTCATCAATTTGAGAGATCATGTGACAAAGTGATTTCATTTGAAATAAAATTAATGGGGGTGTCATCAATTGAGGGTTTAATGGATTTTAAAAGTCATTCTAAATCTAGTGCCTCAATTGAGATTTAAAAGAATTTCAATGAAGTTCTTCAAAATGTAGATGTCCTAAAAAACTAGTGGATTTATAAGGGTTTTATTAATAGAAGGATTTTAAGAGATTTTGATGGATTTCAAATTTAAAAATACATATAATGAAATCTTTTGAAATTTCACAATTTTTAATAAGATTTTTATGGATTTTGTAGAAATCACAAAATTTATAATCTTTCAGAATCCATAAAAAATTTAGTTGAGGCCAGTGACCCAATTTGAAATGAAATTAAAATGTAGTAATTCAATTAAGATAAATTAAATTCTAATGACTAATTATGATTTTTCAGAACGTTAAGTTACCTCAGATGTAATTTACCTTAACGGTGGGGAGATAGGGGAGTTAAGTGTCCCAATGGTCACTGAACTCATGTTTGTGTCTTCGATTGCTTACTGAAATTTAAGATGTTGAGTTTTAGCCATTAAACTTATCAAAACATTGGACGTCACTCACAATTATAACTTCCATTTCAAATCTTTAACGGGATTAGTTACGGAGCTAACGAAATGCACACGTGACGTCTCGTCGCATCTTTAATAAATTACTATGTCATCAATTGCTCATTAAATTTTGAAAAATGTTTTCGATTGTTCACTAAATTTTGAATAACATTTTCAATTGTTCACTAAATTTTGGAAAACGTTTTCGATCCCAACCGAGTAGGTCAAGGGCGGGCCAGCCATAGCTCATTGAATTTTGAAAAATGTTTTATGATTGCTTGCTAAACTTTGAGATAATCGAATTTTTGCCACTATGTTATAGAAATGACATCGACATGTTGTTCATTAAAAAATGTATACCACAAGCACACGGATTGCTAAAAAATAATAAAGCGGACAAACAAGTCCAGATTATCGATCTCACGAGAAATAATTACTCAATTACACGATAGTTAAATTTAATTTTAATATATTTTTGTAAAATTTTAAGCTATCTTCATTATTTTAAAAATTCAAATTTGTTGTGCATTTCGTTGTTAATTTTAAATTTATTGTGTGCTTCGTTGCAAAATCCATTTAATTAGATTTTGTGTTTTTCGTTTCAAAAATTCAAATTTTTATTAAATTTATTGTATGTTTCGTTGCAAAATTCATTTAGTGGCCAAAACCCGATCACCTTAAAGTTAAGTAAACAAATGAAGACCTTTTTTAAGTTTAATGAGCAATCAATGTAACGCCCCAAATTCTCGAAACTCGAAGCGTTAAAAGAAATATTCATCTGCTCGAACCCTTAAATGTTAACCAAAATAAGTTTTAAATGATAAAAGTTTTAAAATCTGAAACATATAGGAAGATGAAATGGAAAATTTTGTTCATATAGATTTGGATAATTTGAAGAAATTTTATTTTGGAAAACATTTGGAGGAAATTCAGCAAAATTCCGGTTGCGCAGCAGCGGAAAGGAAAATATGTTTGACCTAGTAAACGTTGTCAAAAATTTATGAAATTTTAACAGAGACTATAACATTCATATATCTACAACATATAAAATTTTGGAGTTTGGATGAAAATGTTTGAAGCACGAAAATACTGCACAACTACGCTGGACAGAAAATTCGAAACAGTCCCAACACAGTTTACTAAAACGGGCATAACGTTTTCCCTGGATACTATTTTACGGTAATTCAAAAGATCAATATTAGAAGACTCATAGGCCTTTCAAAAGCCACTGATTTCACTCTAATACATGCATTATAGCCCAAGTTATACCATTTTCAAATTTAATGGCAGAATCTGAAATTCAAAACAGCAGTAGATAAACTTCATGCATTGTCAATTCAACATTTGTAAATTATAGTTGACATGCAAAGTACATGAAACTGAACGAGATAAACATTAAAAACATTGTTAAGAGTGTCATCTAAACATTCATAAAAAGG